GAGCACGCAGTGGATGAGATGGCCTGCTACTATGACCAAAACTGCAAGGCGGCCCCTATGTACCAAGAAGGCGACTGGGTCTGGCTCAGCACCCAGAATTACACAACTGATCGCCCAACCAAGAAGCTAGACCATAAATGGACTGGCCCCTTCACGATCGTTAAAGTTGTCTCCCCCACTGCCATCAAACTCTGGCTCACTGCCCGACAAAGAGTTGTGCCACCACTGTAAACTCAACCTGTAACCTCGGAACCATGTCCACTTCCCTATTCATCCTCTCCATGACAAAACCGCAACGAGGAGGGCATTCCCACACCCAACCTCCTGCTGCCTGCTCCCACCAGTCCACCGGGTGGTTGAGCAGTCACTCCCATCCAACCAGAAGTTCCCTATCAGGAACTGTAGCCTATCCCACCTCCTTAGGAGAGGGATATGGTCCAGGCAGCTCCAGGATGCCTGGCCATGCACCTGCGGGTCCCACTTCCCACGGTCACCCACTACCGTGCACTGGTCCACCAGCCCACTTTCCCCAACAACTCCCGCTACTGGTACGCTCCCGTGAGCACCAAGTCACCGATAGCCACCAACTGGGTGACTCCCTTTGGGAGTCCCAGTATCCCACGCTACCGGTACGCTCCATTGAGCACCAAGTCACCACTAGCCAACCACTCCCAGCACACCCACTACCGGCACGCTCCCAGGAGCGCCAAGTCCCCGCTAGCAGACAGCCAGGTGGCTCCCTCAAGGAGCCCACATCATACTCGCTACCGGTACGCTCCCAGGAGTGCCAAGTTACTGTTGGCCAACCCACAGGTTGTACTTCCAGACACTCATCCCATTCCACTCTCCCTCCGATGGCTGCGCAGCCACCTCCATTAGTGAGCTGAACGGTTCAGGTTGGGTTCCCTGGAACCCATTCCTGTAACAGTACTTCCTTTACCTTGGTTGGGGTGGGCCAGTCAAGGACTCCTCTGACCTTCATGGGGTCCATCGCGACACTTCCCTCAGAGATGACAAGTCTGAGGTACTCAATCTGCATCTGCTCAAACTTGCACTTCTCCAGCTTCAGGAAGAGCTTCCTCTTTCGCAACGTCTCCAGGACTTCTCAGATGACCCTCCGGTGCTCCTCTAAGGTTGTAGTGAAAATGAGGATGTCATCCATGTAACAGATGACAACCTCTCAGTTGATGGAATCCTGGAGGATGTCGTTCATCATGGTTTGGAAGGTCGCAAGTGAGTTGCATAGCCCAAAGAACATCACCATGGGCTCAAACAACCCCTGGTTGGTTGCAAATGTGGCCTTCCACTCGTCGCCATCCTTGATTCAGACATTGTTGAACCCCCAGCACAGGTCTAGTGCTGAGAAGTACTTGGCATTGCAGAGGCAGGTGAGGACATCAGAGATGAGTGGGAGCAGGTACGAGTTCTTTACTGTGATCTCGTTCAGTTTCTGGTAGTCCTGAACTAGGTGCAGTGACCCATCCTTCTTCTTGACAAAGAAGACTGGGGCCCCCATCAGGGACTTGGACAGTTGGATGTGTCTGTTCTGCAGGTTCTCTCACAGAAACTCATCCAGCTCCTTCTGCTCCGGCCATGAGAGGGGGAAGGTCTTTCCTCTGGGGAGCTTGGTGTCTGGCACTAGGTCAATGGCATGGTCCCAGGGTTTCTGGGGGGGCAGTTGATTGAAGGCCTCTTTCAAGAACACATCCCGGAAATCCTAGTACTGCTCTGGCACCAATGCCTTGAATGATGCAGGTTCCGCCTCCGGGTCGTGGGCTTCTTGGGCCATCCGCTGGGAGGGTGTAGTAGTCGCTCTTAGCTCATGTCCCCACTCTGGAGGGATGATTGCAGTGTAGATCCTGTCTCCAGGCTCTAGCATGGGGTCTTGGTCACCTTGTGCTCGTGGTGGCTGGCAGGAGGATGGGCAGTGGGACATGACGACCTTTTGCTGTACCCAGTCCACTTCCGGGTTGTGGTGCAGCAGCCACAAATGCCCTATGATGAGGGACTGTTGGCTGAGGTTTGCGACTGCAAAGCAGGCCCACTCTGTATGGTGTCCAAATGTCAGGAGGGCCTCTAATTCCTCAGTTATGGCCCCATTCTTGTTTGGGGTTCCATCAACGTTACAGATGGGGTTGGGTTGGGGGAGCGGGGTGGTCTCAAGCTTGTGCCTCCAGACAAACCCAGGGCTCATGAAGTTCCCAGTGGCTCCCGAGTCTAGGAGTGCTGATATGGACACAGAGGCAAGGGAGGTCAGGGAGGTCAGCCTTACAGCAAGGTTGAGGGATCTCAGGGACTGTTTGGAGAGGACATAGATAGCAGGTGGGGACACTGCTACCTCTGGGGTCGTCTCTGTGGTTTCCTCATCCTTGTGGGCCCAGGGTGTGCCTTTTCTCCTTTTCTTTGCAATGACTCAATGGAGCTTCGGTGCTGGTGGCAGCTCATGCACATCATGGCGTCTGCATGAGCTATCCCTTGTGGGCAGCTGGCGTGCACTCCCCACAGGCTGGGTCTCTGGGCACCCTCTTTGGTCTGGGCCTAGCCCTTTCCCTCTTGCTTCTGGTCCTTTCATCACTTGGCCCTTCAACCCCTTCATCAGTGTTTGAAGGTCTTCCGGGTGCAGGCATTGGGTCTGGCAGGTCTCAGGGTGCAGGTTCGTCTCTTGTGGGGCGGGTTATGGGGGTCATGGGTGGGGCTGGTGGAGGGGGCCTGGGTGAGGGCATGCATGGCTGCATCCTCTGGAAGCACTGCCACTGGCTGTCAAAGAGCATGGCTTCATGCTTCCATTTGGCCCAGGTGGTGGGAATAGGGCGGAGCTGGTAGATGCTCTCGTGGAGCCAGGAGTTGATTGCCCACTCGAAGCAGTCGACTAGCCCTACATCGCCTAGCTGCAAGGTGGGCCCTAGCATCTCAAACTCTTGGATGAGTTTGTCCATGGGGTCACTTCCCTGTCAGATGGTAGCCAGCCTCTGCCAGGCTGTAGCTGCCCGGTTTGGGTCTTGGAACATGGCATAAAGTTCTGCGTTGAACTCGTCCATGGTGGGTGTAGGGGAGCCCATCCTCAGTAGCGCCATGGTGCATTGCATCACCCATGCTCCTGCAGTCCCTCCCTTCATGTAGGAAAGCATGAAGAGGACTTGGGAGAGGGTGCTGGGGAACTTGGCTGTGCAGACGTAGAGATAGATCCCGCATTTGGCCTTGAAGTGGTTGAGGTCCTCACTGACTCCCAAGAAGGGGGTGGGGGTGACCTTGGGTGGTCTGGGCACGTGTGCAGGTGCGTGTGTGGGCTGGCCCTGGGCTTGGGCTATCACAATGGCCTGTAGTTCCTGGGACCAGGCCAGCAAGTTGTCATACTGTTCTTGCATCACCATGGCAGGGGAGGTGGGGGGAAATGGGGTTGAAACCTTCTTCTGCTGTCAGGGACCAACCCAGGGTTGAGAGCGTCTGGGTATATCACCTGGGGCTGAGGGCCCAGTAGGGTGTGATGCAGGCATGCATAACAACGGGCCCAAAGCAGACAAGGGTCCCTGGCCACTTAGGCTAAAGTGGGAAGTGTGTTATTATTATTAGCAGGGGGAGTGTAAGCTACTTGCCTAAAGTGGGAAGTGTGAGAAGAAGGTTGCTTCTCAGTTCCCACTTAGGCTGTGTTTATATACATGTGGTTAGGGCCATGTGGGAAGCACCATGTCATCTACACACACAGCCACATCCATCTGAGTACCTCCACAAGAGGTCCCAGGAGTGTCCAGTATGCGGGAGGTCATCCGGTGTGTCCAGGTCCGGGTTGCACTCCAGCCAGGTCAATGGTACATTGATACAAAGGAAGTTGTCCATGTGATAAGAAAAGAAGAAAGAGGAAAGAGAAGAGAAGAAAGAGAAGAGAAGAAAGAGAAGAGAAGAGAGAAGAGTAAAAAGGGAAAAGGGGGGAGGTCAGGAGGAGCGGATGGTGGGGCACCAGGTCAGGTGGGGCCAGGTCAGGTGGGTGTGCCCTGACAATATACCATCTCTGACCCACAGTAGGTTGTGCCCTGGACAGGGCTGGTTACACCTGAGACTGTGGACCATAGGGGAGGGTCATGGGGACCTGGGAGTCATCCCCTGACACGTTTGCATTTGCATCTCATTCTGCTGCCTTCTTTTGTTGGTAAGCATCCTTTTTGGCTTATGTAGTGGAGCACTTTGTCCGGATGTGGCCAGTTTTACCACACCTCCAACAGATTTGTTGGGCAAGCCAGACAGGGTCATTGCAGGACATGCTGAGGGAATGTTTTAGGGTTAGTCAAGGTAACAATATAGAGTACAACCAGATGCACATGTTCATGGCCTTTACCTTGCTTCTAAGGTCACTTGCATGGTCACAATTCGTGAGAATTCTGATGCTGATTTTGTGGGAATTCTGACATTTGATCACATGCCCCAATATAATTTCACACACAATAAATTCGGTCATTTCCGCTCTTGAACAATTGAATTTGGCCAACTCAAGAAAAACCAAAAGTAAAATCAGCACAAGGGGAGTCAATTTTTTGAATCCTGTACTTGATTTTAGGAATTGGCACATAATCTTCCAATTACCATGGAAGAAATTGCGGATGGCACAAGCGTCAATTCTCTTAGTTAGATTCATAGATGTAGCATATGTAGTGTCCGAAAATACAGCAGTTGTGCAGCCTGCCCCCTCCAACCCGGGGTTTGGCAATGGCTGAATCAGGAACCAAATGCCAAACCACATCATCTTGAGCTTGTGAGCCTAGCAGTGTTCATGTGATTGGAAAGCAAGGTCATGGCTGCGAAGCAGCCTTTCTAGTTCTATTTGATTTCTTGATTTTATCCTCATCAGATTGTTTGGCAGCAATTGAATCATCAAGCAATCTTTCTATGTGGTAGTATGTCCATATCTTTCCTTGATATTGCTTGATAATTTTCCTTGCCGGTTAAGGCAGAGATTTTGTCTCCGCTGAGAAATTCCATTAGCAACTGAAGTGAGAAGTTGAGCAAAGATCTCTTCCACCCCACAATTGCAATCTTGCACGCAGCCCTTCTAGTAATGAGGGGATTCCAGATATGGCCTGCTACTCAACGGCTTCGACTCGAGGTCGAGCAGAGGTAAGCCAGAAGCTTTTACGCACGTCTAACGCATTGAAATGAAAAGAATGCAAGCGTAAGAATTTACTCAGCCCTGGAGATTTCGCACCGCAATTCCGGGAGGTTCCGGTGACTCGTAGATTCCAACAGTTACGATCGCCGAACAGCGTCGTACGAAAATGTATATAGCGCGTAGCAAGTCTACGCAGTTGGGTTGGGTTGAGCATTTCCACCCCCCATTCTCAGATCACCTCACCAAATGGAATCGCCTTCCACGTTCAAACACCTCGCCGTAGGTGCCTTTTCCGGGATTGTACTCCAGGCTGCGTGCGTGGTCGATGACATTGATAATCGTCTTCGTGGATAATGACATCTTCGCTTTTCCATCTTCCGTTCCCCTCCATGCAATAGACTCCTCGGCGTAATCACCATTCAGACTTTTCTCTATTACAAAAGGTTTTCCGAGGACCATTTCTTTCAGAAGACCGTCATCGGATTCTTATGGTGGGTGCTGACCAATTACATTTGGATGGTGGTTGGGTAACTGCGTACTCCACTTTCAGGCTCATGCAGATGTTTCAAGTGTGAGCTAAAAGCCGTGTCAAATACATTTTTCAGTGACTTGCTGCTTCTCTAGGATAGCTTCGCTTTACGTGTTTACATGGATTGTCGAGCATTTTGGGAAGTTGACTATACGATGGTAGGCCCTCCCGTGGACCCACCGCACTGGGTCTAACTTTGTCCCCACGACAGGTTTGATACTTTCTACCAGTTATCTATGGTAGGATCATGATCCCACCCGGTCCGAGCCTAGTCAGTGCGCCGGAGGTTATGTACCTTTTCATAATTCGCTCCACTAGGTTATTTGCTCTGCCATCGTCCAATTTTTCTTCATCCTAAGACTCTATCGACGTACGTCCCCTCGGTGGTCTTTCTTCCAAGGATTCTGAATTGTGTCCAGTCAGTGGATCAACCTGGCTACCAACGTCAATTGTATGTCATCACCGTCCATCCTACAGACAACCCCCTTTTTACGGGATCCTTATTGACAGGTTTTCCTGACTCTGGGGCAGTTTGGTGAGCAGATCCGAGTGATTGTGTTTCTCGAGCGTCTGATTATCTCGACCTAGGGACCGGTGTTGGTGAGGTGCAAAATTGTGGGATTAAAACACTTCTGAGACTCTCTGCACCCCGCGCATACTGTATACAGCGCTCTTTGTTAAAGCGTAAGAGGGTTCTCCATCTAAAAAACCAGCCATTTTCTACTGATACGCTCTTGTCGTCTCTCCTGACAGAAATGCTACTCACAGTCCCGAAAACGTACTCTTTTCCAAAGGCCCACTCGCTATATCGTGGCTAACACTAGAGGTACGCGCTTCCCATTAGCCAGGATATTTCGCTCACATGAACACATGAACATTAATCCTTCAAAGGCAGTGGCTGATCTCGTGATTGCCTTCGCTATGTCATATTTCCTCCAGAAGCGTCGCACAGGATTTCGGCGGTAAGCGATTGATCTGACTCTTGTGGAATTAAATGCATAAATGGATTCCTGCCTAAAGGATGGACACAGTGTTACGGAAGTTAACAGCATATGCCATTAGCACTGGCCTGGTGACTGGGTATGATTTGTCTTGTTGTTACTGAACTAGGTTAAGTTCCCCAACTTAGCATTCTGGCGCTGGGTGTCATGTTTTCTGTATGTTTATTTTTTCTAACTTTTCTGATGTGTAATCCTAACAGCCTTTCTCGGGGCAGGTTGCATTTCACAGCCCCCAATTTATCCCCATGATTTTCATCTTTGTGAGTAAAACCTATGTTTCAATGCAGACGCTTGGCCTTAGTAATACTCCCTAGGTGCTTGGAGGCGTCTATACTACATCCCTCTTAGCAAAGTGCGTATACCGTCACGAAGCAATGCGCCATCAAAGTAATGTCTCGTGTATTGACTACATGCTTCTCCCCTCTCCTTCACGCCAGTTTACATTCGCGCTCGAAACTCTGGAGTGAACTTCGTTTCGAGGGAGACAACGGAATTTCAATACATTTGTCCCGTCTTCCTTCCAGGGTAAGAGTAACGCATCCGTAGCCGATTCCCCAATGACTTCTTCATCAGATACGCAATAATACAAGTGCTGTCACTCGGCACGTAGAAGGACACCATTCGGACGAAGGGACAGATCAAGCTCAATGAGCAGATTCATGTCTTTGGCGTCGCCAGCCAAAATTTAGGTCGGACGATCGAGCGATCTGAATCCAAATCTCGCAAGTGCAGCGAAACTCTGTGTGCCCGGCATCTTTATTGAAAACTGGTCATGGAAAGATATGACTAGTGCATGCACGAGCTAGCTGGAGCAATGTTCCATGTAATAGGTGATGGGCCTCACACGGGGAGCGACCTCGGCTGTTCGTATACAGAAATGTAACGCACAGAAACCAGGATATGGGCGTAGAGCCAGGCCGGGGGAACATCCCAATGCTACAATATAGCAAATCGGAGTGGGCATCGTAGGGTGGTCGTGTTTCGGTTATTATGCGATGCCAAGCAAGATCTTGGCCCGGATCCAAAGGAGAGACCTGGTCATAACTGGAGTGTGAAGTGTGGACAGGAAGGGAAAGAGAAAGCAAGGCGAAAAACAAATGTGCATGAAGTGCATAAGAGACAACAAGAGACCAAGAGCACCGTGAAAGCGAGGGTTCGTCCACACCAATGAAGGGGTTAGAAACCAGGGGCTCTTTTTGATACTTTTTTTTGGAGATCTAGCGCGTGATGACGAATGAGACGGAAATCGGACGCAACTGGTTGGCAAGCGTGCTGGAACCCTGCTGGGCCCGGAGAAAAGGCTCATGTGGCCGATAGCAAACAACTACAGTAGCCTTAAGAATGCTCCATTGGGTGGAGCACACTGGTCGTGGGTTATATGAAAACCGCCTAGCGAGGCAAGTCTGATGACCTGTTAGGCTTCGTTCGGGTCGGAGAAACAGGAAGAAACAGGCAAAAGAAACCTGTTTCTTCGTACCAAACGAAGCGACCCGTGAGAAAAGGTGAGTGGAAGAATGTTTGTTGCGGAAGAAACTGTACCCAGGATTCCGAGGGGGGAACTCAAAGATGGGTGGTTCTTCACCCCCGAGTTCTTGGCGGACGCCAGATTCTATGCTACGCCCGCGGGTCAAGCTCCAATGATTCTGTCAACATCGGGATCAGCTCCGCTACATAACATTCAAGCTCTCCCCAGCAGGCTGCCTCTGCTGTCTGCCTCGATCGATTCAACCTCCAAATAGTACGACATAGCCCTTATGACCTTGCCATCAGCTGAGAATTGGCTGAAAATATCATCTCACGGCAGGCTCTGCGCCGGCTCCTGCAAATGAAAAATTTCTTCCACTGCTACTTCCAGGGCCCTCACCCTGAGAAGTGATCTTCAGCCCAGACAAGGATATACCAATTGTAGCGGACCTTTTGCTGTTATAGAGTCCGTCAACTTATTCAACAGATGAGCGATGAAATTCCCACCTACGAACTTCGGGTGCAACTGAGAAATTCTTCACAAAGCGTTCTTCCCCCCGCCCTCTTCCCCTCCAATTGGGGGACATGAGGATCAACTAGGAGACATGAGGATCAATTAGGAGACATGAGGATGTATAAATAGCGTAACAAATCTTCGCAGTTTGCGTGGATTGAGCTTTCCATCCCCATCCCTCAGATCATCTCACCAAATAGCAGTCCCAGAGATGGGGATGTCTGCTCGCGAAAATCTCTTTGGAGGTTTCCTTTCTGGGCTCGTGCTCCAAACCATGTGCGTTACAAATGGCGTTGACGTTCGTTCTCTCCGAGAATAATCCAATATGCCCGCTTGCCCGGATTACTCCACACCCCTTCCCTGCGGTAGACTCTTCGGCATAATCACTGTTCAGGCCTTCCTGTATTACCATAGGTTCCCTCAGGACCATATCCTTTTGAAATCTACGGTAGGATTCTTATGGTGAGTGCTGGCTGACTAAGTGGCTTGCATGGTGTTGACTCCACATCCCATTTGGAGGCTCGTTCAGGTATTTGAAATGTGAGTCAAAAGCTTCATCAGATACTCGGTTCAAGGACGGTCACTTCATCGCTTCTCCAGGATAACATTGACAGTTACGGTTCACGGGGCACTCATTAGCCACTTCGGTGTTCAAATATCAAGCACGGTGTGGTATGTTCTCCCATAAACTCGTCACAGCACTGGTATGACATTTCCACCACAAAAGGTATGAAACTATATATCAGATTTCTACAGTAAGTCCATAATTCCACCCAAACCTGGATCGAGTCTGCCTCGTGTGGTTATGCACCCACCAGAATTCCCACTAGGTTATTAGTTCTACCATCGTCCAACTTTATTTCGTCCTTCGTCTATATCGATGTAAGCTGCCTTAGCAGTCCTCCCCCTCTCTTTTCATCCGTAGATTCCTAATGTCGCTCTGAGCTGTGCCTAGTTAGTGGGTCCGTCTGGCTACCAGCACTACTCGTACGTAGTCACCTGTTCGTCCTATGAAGACGTGTAGACCTTCACCGGTAGGCCATCTTGATCCCGGCGCAAATTGGTGAGTGAGCCTGAGCAGTCGTGTTTGAAGTGTCTAACGCATACCTTAACCTAGGAACTGGATTTGGTACGAGGCTGCACAAGTTATAGAATAAAACAGCTTTTGAGATCCCCCTTATATCATATGCAGCGGTCTGGCTCACAGCGTAAGTGGGGGTTTCTCAGGTAGTAACGTATTCTCATCATCCTCATTGACAGAAATACCACCCATGGTATTGCAACCTTCGTTCGGCCCGCACGCCGCCTCATGATAAGTTGGCTAACATTGGAGGCACGTCCTCTCTGTGCATTGACTAAGGGGATTTGGTTGTGTAAACACTGTCGAATTGCAGGCAGTGGCGGACCTTGTGATCGCGTTTGTCATGTCATATTTCCTCAACAGGCGTCGCACTGGGTTTCAACAGTAAGTAATTTGCTTATCTCTGGGTCAAGGAAAAATGCCTGAATGGATGCTTCCCTCCCTCCTTAAAGGACGGATACAGTGTTACGAAAGTTAACCGTATATTCAATCAACACTGGCCTGCTGACGAGGTAGGATTTAACAGACTTGTTAGGAAAATAGCTTCAAAATTCAGCCTTTTTATAACCCAGTGCTCTGGCATTGGTTGTCATGTTTTTTGTGTGGCTATTTCCCCCACTTCTGACGTACCAAGTAGCTCTGACAGTTTTTCTGGGCAGTTTGCATTCTACGGCTTCCACTTCGTCCACTTAATGTTCTTCTTGGTAAGTTATATCTGCACTTCAGTACAGGTGCCGAATTTTACCGAGTATTTTTCTGAGCCGCTCGGAGGTGTTTATTCAGCGTCCCTTTTGGCAAAGTATGTATTCCACCATGGAGCAACATGCAAGACCCTAGAAAACTGACGATATGCTCCTCTTTTCCACTCCCTGTTAGTCTACATTCACGCTCGAGCCTCTGGGGGGAACTTCAACCTGGAGAAAACACGAATGTAAACCTCCTTTCTCCCGTGGTCAGAGAAATTCATCCATAATACACCCCGTGTTAAAGCTGACACAACATCTTTCACCAGGTACGCAACCGGATGAGTGCTATCTCTCAGTCCGTGTGAGGGTATTAATGCACAGACCAAATGATCAGCAGTGCGAGTCCGTTGCGTTAGGCAAAGATAGAGGCAGAGCAATAAATGATTTGGATCCTAATTTCCTCATTTGAGCATGTCTCAGTGAGTTTAGTGATCTACTCAATGTGGATTAGGATCGAATATATAGGAAGTTTTGTTGCTAAATGCAATGGGTAGTTCAACCGATCATTGAAAGGCTATTTCTCTCTGGCATAAGCTAAAGCTGGGGTTAGTTTCATGGGTGTGGCGTGATTAACACATTTCAGGTGGTGGTGGTTTGGAAGTGATATATAGAGTTCGATTATTCAGAATTTGTGTGAATCAGTGGAAGGTCACCTTTGTTAGACTTGGAACAGAAATGAATGGTTCCGTCAATTGGGGGTCGGCAATTCAAGTTGATGACTGTTTGCCCACCTGTGGCTGTGCTGGCTGTTGCAAATACTGTCCCATTATGACCGTAGGTTCATTCCCACGGGTTTCGGGGATTGCCGGCCCCTTCTTGTGTAGTTCATCCCTCAGTGTGACATGTGCCACACATCACATGAGAATATTGAACTGAATAAAACTGAATTAATTTGCTGTTTGTGGGAATTTGTCAGGGCACACCCACCTGACCCCACTCCACCCAGTCCGACCCCACCCAACCCCACTACACTCACCCGGTGCCCCTGTCCTCCTTCCTCCCTTCTCTCGTCCCTTCTTTCTTTCCCTTCTTCTTTCTTCTTTCCTTTCTTCCTTCTTCTTTCCTTTTCTACTACATGGATGACTTTCCTTGCATTGATGTACCATTAACCTGGCTGTGCAACATGCCTGGACCCAGACACACCAGACACTCCTGGGATCTCTTATGGAGATACCCAGGCAGATATGGCTGTGCGCATAGATGATGTAGCGCCCCCTGTGACCTTCAACCACATGTACATAAACACAGCCAAAGTGGGTAACCTTCTTCTCACACTTCCCACTTTAGTGTCAGGGCACACCTGCCTGACCCGGTTCCACCCAGGCCCACCCGGGCCCACCCAGGCCCACCTCACCCGCTCCCCGCTACCCATCCTTCCTCCTTCCTCCTTCCTCCTTCCTCCCTCTTCCCCTCCTTCTCTTTCCTCCCTTTTCCCTCTTTCCTCCTTCTCCTTTATTTCATTCTCCCTTTCTGTTTATTCTTTCTATTTACACAGACCACCTTCCCTTGTATCATTGTACTGTTGACCCATCCAGCTCAGACACCCCAGACGACTTCCCGCTACACCTAGCATGCATGCCTGCAGCGGATGCCCTTGGGATCCCCCATGGGGACACCTGGATGGCTGCGGCTCTCTCCATAGATGACGTGGCACCCATCATGTGACCCAAGCCGCATGTACATAAATGTACCTGAAGTGGGAACTGAAGAAGTAACCTTCTTCTCACGTTTTCCACTTCAGTCTAAGTGGCCAGGGACTACAGTCCCAGATCGGGCCCATCAGTACACATGCCTGCTTCGCTCCCCAAGAGGGTCCCTCTGCCAGGCACTACATCTGGGCCCCCTCCACCCTGGATGTGTCCCTGACATTTAGGCAAGTAGCTTACATTCCCCTGTTAATAATAATAACACACTTCCCACTTTAGCCTAAGTGGCCAGGGACACCCTTTTGTGCTGGACCCGTTAGTATGTGCACCTGTGCTACACCCTATCGGGTCCTCGGTGCTGGGTGACACATCCAGGTGCTCTTGACCCCGGGTCGCTCCCTGACAGAATTAGTTGTCAATACATTCATCTGTTCAAAGTCTCATTGTGACATGTGACTGAACCAATGGTTGTAATGGGACAGTAAAGCTGAGAATGGTGGGACATTGTCAGGGCACAGCCTGAAAGGTTGCTTACTTGTTTGGGGACGGTAACATTCCATTCTGTCAGGGGACAAACCCTGGGTCCCCATGACCCCTCTCTACAGTCCACAGTCTAACCTGTAACAACCCAATCCCAGGGCACAGAACTACTGTGGGTAAGAAAGTGAGCTTCTCACTTTTCCACAGTGGCCACAATATGGCAAAAGCTTCCGGAGTTATCTGGAAGTCACATGAGGAATGGGGACTGGGGCCCGGAGCATGTGGCACATGGAGCATGTGGGGTGGAGCAGTCAGGATGTGTGCCCTGACATGTTCCCCCATTCACCTCAGGCCTCAGATACATCTAAATATAAGCTTGGATTTCGAAACTTATTCTGTTGATCCACTTCAACTCCACTTGTTTGATGGCACTACTAATAACCTTATCATGCAGGCCATCAACCTCCCACTCCACTTTCCATCTGGTGTTGTCATTCTGTCGACTATTTATGTCACTCTGCTAGATGGTACATGTGTTTTGGTACTTGGGCATAACTGGCTCACCTGCAACAATCTGTCAATTGACTGGATATCAAGTAGTATAGCCTTCCAAGCGCTGACACAAACCCACCTAGAACCTATAAGCACTTCCGCTGAACCTCTGGATCCTGATCCATCAGTAAGCATTCTGTCTGTCAACACACTGCAACCATCCATTAGCCATGTGCCACCTATTGAGCTTGTCAGTGCTGAGGTTTTTGCCAAGGCCTGTCAACTTCAAGGCTCAGTAGCATTTGCTGTGAGCACTTCTGTTCTGTTCAGTGAGCTGCATGCTGCAGCTACTAATCCATCTGTTCCTTCCAAGCCTATCGACCTCTCAGCTGTACCAACGGCATACCACAAGTTTGTGGATGTCTTCAGCAAGAAGAAAGCCAATATGCTTGTGCTGCACTGTGAGTTTGACCTAAAAATCGAGCTGGAGGAAGGTACACATCCTCTGCTGGGTACCTTGTACTCTCTCTCTCCTTCTGAACTTGAGGCCCTATGCACTTTCATCAAGAAGGATAGTTCCCTCTGTCTTTGTGTGGATTTTAGAGGCCTCAATGAGATCATGAAGAAAGATTGTTATCCACTCCCACAAATTTCTGACCTCCTAGATGCCCCAAGCTGTTAATGGGCCCCACTGAGATGTTGGATACTGTCAATTAGTTGAGTATCTGCATCTGCAGGCTTCGCCCTTAAATACATGTGTGAGTGGCAACAGTGATGCATGAAAGACAAAGGAAATGAGATGGGGCAGACTACAAAGGTAACTGGATGCTTTGTGGTCCAGTGCCAAGTTGCAGGAGCGTCCCAATGCCTCTCCCAAAGCTCAATTTGTCCAGTCCAAGCTCCTCCAATCCAGTGGTGACGTGCCAGGTGGATTACTGCCCCTGACCACCTGTGGCATTGGACTGCTAACTTCGACACAAGCTGTGCCCAAGTCTACATGAAGCTTGATCTCTGGCATGCCTACCACTTGGTATGCATCACCACTGGGGATGAGTGGAAGACCTCTTTCTGCATGCGCTACAGCTCCTATGAGTGGCTTGTAATGCCCTTTGGTCTGTCAAACACCCCTGTGGTGTTTCAGCAGTTCATGAATTCTGTCTTCACTGATCTCCTCAATGTGTGTGTGGTAGTCTACCTTGATGACATTCTCATCTACTCTGCTGACATGGCCTCACATGAGGAACATGTTTGCAAGGTCCTGCATAGGCTCCACATTAACGGCTTATTTGCCAATCTGCAGAAGTGTGAGTTCCATACTGATACAACAGAGTACCTCAGGTACATTCTCTCACCAAATGGATTGTCCATGTCCTCAGAGAAAATCAAAGCCATCCAGGATTGGCCTGAGCTGTGTAAAGTGAAGGGTATTCAATCCTTTCTGGGATTCACTAACTTCTACTGCCATTTCATTCATGAGTATTTTGATATTATGATCCCTCTCACCTGCCTCACTTGTAAGGGAGTACCCTGGATATTCGCTGACAACTGTTGCTCCACCTTCCAACGCCTCAAGGGCACCTTCACTTCCACTCCTATACTGATGCATTGGGTTCCCAATGCACCACTGGTCATTGAAACTGATGCTTCGGACTATGCAATATCAGGTATCATTTCTATTTGTTGTGCTGATGAAGAAATATAACCTGTCACTTTCTGCTTGCAGACGTTGATGGCACTGGAACTCAACTACAACACGCACAACAAGGAGCTCCTAGCCATTTACAAAGCCTTCTGTTCCTGGCATCACTATCTTGAAGGCTCTGCCAACCTCATCAATGTCATCATGGATCACAAGAATCTGGAATACTTCTCTACCATGAAATCCCTCACTCACTGGCAAGCCTGCTGGTCTGAGTTCCTTTCCCAATTCAACATGATTGTTTTCATCCTGGTAGATTTGGTGCCAAGCCTGATGTGTTGGCTGGATGCTGGGATGTCTATCCCAAAGAGGGGAATAGGGACTACACCCACATCAATCTGCACAACTTCTGCCCAGTCTTCACCCAGGAACAACTCATGTTGTTGCAAGCAGGGGCAGACTCTGCAGAGGGGAGAGATGGGGGAGGGTGTCACGGCTGTGCATTCCAGCCTGTTCCCCACCCATTCCCTGCCCGTCCTGATGCTGCCTGAACCCGTTCCCACTGCACAAGCGTGAGTGTGAGCCCCAACCCTCATCCCTATCCTCCTTGAGGACTCCCCACTCACTCCCCACTTGCCCATGGTTCCCCAATGCTAGACTGACTCCCCCACTGCCACACCAACCTCCCCACCATGTGTTACAGGAATGGAGTCTCTCACGACCATGTCAACTGAACATCAACCACAGTGGGTCCTCCTTCTCCACATCCTCCCATCTCTTTCTTACATTCTCCCCGCTTCCCCCCCTTCTTACACACTCACTCCACGCTAAGCTTTCCCTTATTGGGTTTTGGTGCTGGCTGGATTATTTATTCTATTTCGTGAGATTTCTTGCAATCATTTCTTATTCAATAGTTAGCATCATGTTCATGTACAGCTACAGCCGAGAAAGACGGATAACATTCTGTGCAACAACTGTAAACCTCCTTGTGCCAACACTGTAATGTCTGTGTAAGATTGTGTCAGGGCACACACCCTGACTAGCCCGGACCCGGACCCGCGTCCGGACCCGGACCTGGACCCGCATGTGTGCCTCCGCCCTGCACGCTCCGCGCGCCGCATGCTCCGGGCCCGGTTCCTACCCTTCATGTGACTTCCGGGTATCCCCGGAAGTTTTCGCCATATTGGGGCCACTGTGGGAAAGTGAGAAGTTAACCTTCTTCTCACTTTCTTACCCACAGTAGGCAAGTGTAGCCTACTTCCTATTTATCTATACACTTTCTTACCCACAGTAGCTATGCCCTGAGATGGGCTGTGTTTACAGGCCAGACTGTGGACTGTAGAGAGGGGTCATGGGGACCCGGGGTCCGTCCCCTGACAGATTGTATATGTCTCGGTCACCATCTATATGGG